GTGATTGTGACCAGTCAGATGGTATAACGTTTAACTCCCAGAAATATGAGCGCTCAAATACTAGTCAACCTAATCGCTAAAATTGGACCACCATCCTTAAAGACCTTTGGAGCTAATCCATCTAGACCAGCTGCCCTTCCTTGTTTCAGATTAAATATAGCCTTTTGAACTTCACTTAGATTCGGGATATATATATATATATGTATATGTATATATATCCTGATATTTTATTATTGTTTTTCTGAAGAAATTTGTAATGAAATATTGCTTAGATCAACTAGAAAGGTTTATTATATTTAACATTTTTCTCAGTGGAAGAACATCAAAACAATAATCAAGATAAAAATGAAAAACATCATTCTACTTTTAACAAATTTTCATCTAATTTTATAACTGGTGAATTAAAATCTGGATATTTAGAATCATTCAATTCAGTGAATTTAAAAATTATTTGGAATCCTAATAATATTTCTGTTAATATTAATGAATCTATTATGGAAGAAGAAAAATTTATTATTCATTTTGATGATCCTGATAGTTCAGATATTTATATACATGCTATTGGTTATCCTAAAAATATTCCTGTATGGTTATCAACATCAAATTTATCTATGGGAATATGTTGGTTTAATCGACTATATCAAGAATGTTTCGCTGTACATAATAGAACAAAATCTGCTCTTAAAGTTATATTTGAAGTTGATAAAGAAATTTCAAATCATTTAAAAATTTTACCAAAAACTGGTTTTGTTCAAGTAAGCTATTTAACTTAAAATTGAATTGAATACAGAAAATAAGAAGATATATACATTGTTTTTCTCTTAATATTAAAACAAATTCTTAGTGTACAGCAATCCATTAAGTATGAGCTGGTACATTCATGAATCAAAATTAGTAAACATTATCTCAAAAAAAAGTGTTTACAAGGAAGGTTTAAAAAGTTATAAATTGATGTTAAAAACTCTCTTTCGAGGTTGAAGTGACACCTTAAGAATCGTAATAATGAGTAACTCCCTGTTCGTACTCATCTATATTGTGATGGCAGAGTCAATCGATAAAAACCGATTACATTTGGATTCGTTCAAAATAAAATATCGAGCAAATGATTTCATTATTCTTTAGATCAATATTAGATATTTATAAAGGATATGTATGCTGAATAATTAGACTAGTCAGAAATGTTGTTCCTATAGCGTTTTTCTGTAACACTGTTTCTTTGATTTTTAATCCAGTTTACACAACTGCTTAAAATTGATGAAGGAACTAAAGGTATACAAACACGTACTCGTATGAATGAGCCACAGTGCTAAATATGTCTAGCTCTAAATATTAAGAGCTTCATTTGAACCTTAGAAAACTAATAAACCATATTTATCGCGATTAACTATTGCTTAAATTTAAATCATCTATATATATATCTATATAATTTGGCTTTGCAGGCTGAAAGTCGATTATTGGCCCAAGTAAAACTGTTGCCAAAACTTAGCTTACCCGATGACCTTGCAGACTTCTGTGATCCAGATAACAGTCATTCTCATGCAGAAAGTGAGAATGAAAGTTGTCTCTCAAAGTTATCATATGATTCCCTAACAGGTGTACTTCAAGTACCAGTTACTGTTCATGTTGTAGGCCAAGCTAACAAACTACAATTAATAGTTGATGCTGTAATTACAACAACAGATTTAGTTCTTTCTCCCAATCCAATCAATTTTGGTTTTGCTGAAATTCATGAAACTGTAGTAACACGACTATTAATAACAAATAAGAGCTTGTTGCCCCAGAATTTTGGAATTGTCGAACTTCCGGAGGTGAGTGTTCGTTTAACTCATGTGATCATATAATATTTCTTTTTTTTTAGAGAATGTACGAACTGTGAAAATAAAATTCCTTTTAAATAATAATAGAGATTTTTAAAGACACAATAAAATACAGCTTTTTAAGAAAGATTAGTTAGTTATTATTGTAAAAATCTACAAAACTATTCACAATATCCTGATGGTATGTTTTTTAACTGAAGTTCTCGATGACTAACTTTATGTACAACAGCTTTTTAGCTAATAACTGAACAAGCTGGATTGAAAATTTTAGAATCTTTGTCAGTGACTTACCCTTAGTGAATCTACTTACAATAAACGTTACTCCATTCCCTTGTGGATTAGACCTTTACGTCAAAAGCTCGACGTGTGGCTCTCGGAGGAAACCGCACCCTTCGGTTTGGGCACCCGAGTAGTATTTCAGCCACAAATTGAGTGAAGTGTGGCGCATATATATTTGATGCCTCCTTGTACCAATGTCTATGTGTTTAAATAAATATCATTATTAATAAAAGAGTAATTATTGTTATTTGATCATTCATCACTTTGTAACTTATGTTTTATAGAGAGCTTTTAATGTAATAAAAAATGCCTTATTTTTCTCGTTGAGTTATGAAATAATTGATGAATGACTAGTTAATTATTTTGTCAGAATCAACATTTTCTATTCTCATACATGGAGTGGCTTTATATTTCACTTTACATTTTTAAATAAGTACTCTTTGCCCATATACATTTTAATTCAAATTACTTGCTTACTTGCCCCTGTTACTCCTAATGGAACAATGGCCGCCGACCAGCATTCTCCAACCCACTCTGTCCTGGGCCTTCTTTTCTAATTCCATCCAATTCTTGTTCATTTTTCCCATGTCTATCTCCATTTCTTGGCGTAATGTGTTCTTTGGTCTTCCTCTTTTCTTCTGGCCTTGAAGATTCCATGAGGGCTTGTTTCAATTCAAACAATCAACTATGAATTTATTATTAATTGAAATTGATCATAATCTTTAAGTTACCGGCTTTTTCCATTCGTTTTGAAAAAAAAACGACTCACTGACAAATTCTACTTCACATTTGATAAATATTAACGTTGTTCTGATGGATAATTCCCTACGATAAAATTATAACTAGAAGGATTCGCTCTGTAAATGTAGGTGGATGATATATCTTTACTATGTGGTGGAGATTTCATTTCACAAGCTGAAATCATGAGCCAATTGAAGCTAGACCACCATGGAAAACCTGGAAGCACTGGACGGCCGTTTCGTCCTAGTATGGGACTCCTCGGCAGTGCGCATCCACGAACCCGCCCTCGGGATTCGAACCCAGGACCTACTGGCTTCGCGCGCGAGCACCTAACCGTTAGACCACTGAGGCGGCATCCAACGGTGTTAATGTCTAACTTCAACCAATTTTAAATTGCTTTATTCCGAAAATGATCAATTCCAGTAATGTTTCATTTTGTTTCCGGCTAAAGATGTAAAGTTAAGTTTTTACCATTAACTATTAGATTGTAGTGTCGATTATTATGTTAAGCCCACATACCTTATTCTAGCTTTCGGACAGGTCAATCTATTCATTCCACTTGAGTCTTGACTATGTGTAACGATCTTATCCCATTCATCACATGTCTGTAGCTTAATTTTGTGTGACTATAAATATTGATTAACAATTGACTAAATGGAATTGGCTCATATGCCTTCTCCACCGTGCGTCATTTCACCTCGCTCTCTTCTCTTCGCTTCTCCAGTTGCATGAAATATACCTATTTGAAATTAATTCTCGAATTTGACTAATTTAAGTAACTCGATTTAAGTCGATGATTATATACAAGGATAGGTGACATATGTATTTCAACAGCGCTCATTCAATAACGAACATTCATACAATCTAATTGAAGTCAGATCTCGGGCCATTAAAAGCTTTATCAAATAGTGTAATATTAAAGGGTATGAGTACACCTGTTTTATATAATCTATTTATTATTCTTCTTTAATATCGTTAAATCCAATCAGATTTAAGATGACAGGTCTTTGATCTTTGTGAAAGATTCATCTAATCATTTAGCTAAATACCATTTCAATAGTTGAAATCATGAGTCAACTGAAGCTAGACCACTATGAAAAACCTGGAAGCACCATATCAGCATTTCAGCTGATATCATTTCGTGATGAAAACATTAAATATAATTTTTAAAATTAAAACACGAAGTTCAGCGAAGGGATCTCTTTTCAACGAATTTATTACCAAGCTGTACAATCGTATATATATGAAAAAGTACTAATTCCGTGAGGAAATGTGAACACGAATAACCAAAATGACGTAATAAAAAGATTATAATACTAGATTACGTAATACGAATAATAACTATAGATTTAGTGAATATAATAAGATGATTTAAATGATTAAAATGTTTCGGTTACAATAATTACAGGTCATAGAGGTGTAAAAATAAATAAGGTGGTATGATGAGCACTTACGAATAAAATAATGAGAATATAAGATATAAATAGAGGGGGGAATGCAGTAATAATAATAATAATAATAATAATAATAATAATAATAATAATAGGATAATCAAAATAATTAAGGCCAAGGTAACGATAACGATAAGAAGTACTTCTTTTGTATGCATAGTTCTGGTTTAAGCTCCTGGATGGTAAGAGCTTCGGCTATTTTTAAGAGTTGGATACGAAGAAATCTGGGTAGATTTGAACTAATCATATAAAGAACCTTAAAATCAAATGGTGGATCTGTAGAATGGTTACAGTCGATTAGGTGTTCAAGTATAGAACTTCTAACTGCTTTCCTTTCACCCTTATAGAACCAAGCTGGGATATGTTCCCGTATCTGAGTTGAAAGCGAGCGCTGGGTACGGCCAATGTACCTTGCTTGATAATAAATTCGTTGAAAAGAGATCCCTTCGTTGAACGTCGTGTTTTAATTTTAATATTTAAGTGGGAATTATCTATAATTTTTAACTCTAACGTTCAACTGTAAATCCTAATCCTAGTTTCTCATACTAATTTATAACCCTTATTTAACCTTAATAAGTAGATGAACACTTTCAATGTCATTTTAACATTGATCAAAGGTTATTCATAAATTGTTATATCAACTTACATAAGAACAATTAAAACATGGATTTAGAATAGCCAATTTTGTAAATAACAAAGAAAGTTTTAATAAAACATTTTCAAATTTGTTTTATTTAAACTAAATATATTCACTTAACTTTTATTACGTATATTCATTGTTCACATTCTAATCTTTAATGTTTAATGAAACTTTAATGTATGTTAGATATATATGGATTATGAAATAATAATTAAAGAACTTTTCAAGACAAATGGGTGATGAATACGTTTTCTTGTTTCGTTGAACAGTTTCAAAGTATAATTGATAGAATAGTAATTATTGATAGTGTAAATTATTCATTATATATTCAATGTCACAGATAATTTAGAATAAATTAAACCATTGATGAAATGTTTTTTTGTTTTTTTTCTATTGGGATTTAGTTTATTGATATTCAACCAAATGATGGTTTTGGTGTTATACTTGGAAAAGAAACAATTGAATTAGAAGTATTGTTTCAACCAAAAAAAGCAAAAGAATATCATTTCGTTTTAGTTTGTAAATCAGGTATTGGACGGTAAGTTGTAAGTTTATAATATCTGGAAAAGAAAAGAAATATATGTATAAGACATTTTTCAATGAGTGTAGATTGTTTCTTTTACATGTACACGATTGTTACCATTTTTGTAAGCGTGAGAAAATGTATTGTATAGAAATCAATAATGATGAAAATAACTCAAGTATCTGTAACAATGGTTGACGAACGTTCAGTGTTTCATTAGGCTATTAACAGCTTCTATCTGAAAACTTACGTGTAATCTAATCATTATTCATTCGGTGGTTCTATCATTCGAAAGTACTGTTTCATAATGACCTATGTCCACAAAGGACACACACATAGGGAAGAATAATCGAACAGTGTCATCAAGTGTCATTAAACATGTGCCTAGATAGCTTCAAAACCAGTGTCAAATGGTCCGATCAACGTGAAAGGTAGAAAACCATGTTCATCGATAGCGAAACATATTGAAACGGGGCACAAAATTGGCATTAATACAGCTTTTAAAATGTATAAAAATCGTCAAGGACGAATTCTTAGGTTCACTGAAGCCTTGGCTATTCGTAAATTTAACCCTCCCCCTAATGTGTACAAAAACAATTTATCGTAACCTCTTATGGTCTAAGATAACGCGATAATTTCTTATTCTTTCGATATGACGTAAGAAAATGTTTCTCTCTCCTTTGTTACCTTTTTTACTTGAACGTTCATTTAATTGACCTTTATTAGTTTTCATATAAAATGTCCTGACAAGTATATGTGTGACCAGATTGTTCGAAATGTATGGCGCAAATACATCACATTTTTCAGAACAAATCCGTCTTCTAATTGCTCTATGGAAAAACATACCTTTGGATTAAATATTTGACAACCGAATAATAAAACAAATTGCTTTTTTATAGACAGAAAGATGGATGTCACAAGTTGTAGAAAATGACAGGGCGTTTAATATCACTAACTAGATCTCATAACATTGGATTTGGCAAGAATTTCATGACAGGTGAATTTGTTGACTACTCTAACACCTATGATTAAACTAGGTATCCATTTAGAGCAAGTCCAAATCAGTGCTAAAAATCTCATAGAGAGAAAAATGGATCCAAAACATTCCTTCTCTGCTCATGACATTAAGCAAAGATTTAAAAATTAGTTTAGAATTCACTCATAATAATTGCATAATCCATCAGATGGACGTAATAAATTAAATTTTAAATCGTGTCCTAGATTTTGAGTCGAATAACTATCTTCCAAATAAGCACTCAAACTTGTTACCCGCCTGGACTACTGTTTCTATCCTAACTATAATTATTATCATAAAGAATACTAAGCAATTGATCTGATAAATACCATTAGATCGCCCGTATTGTAAACGCTTGTTATAATATAAATGAAGATTCACGAATATTATAATCCTCTTTCCACAAATTACCATATACTAAACAAGATTCTTTTATTTAAAAAATTAATAATCTTCACCAAACTGCTTTCGATTTTTAATTCTACCATGTTTTAAATAGTGTATATACTTCAGTTTTACTGTTTGATTTTTTTATCAGTATCTTTACTACAGAATGTACTGGTGTCGGGGTTTACTCACCTTTAAGTTTATCTACCAATCAACTTTATTTTAATCCTACACCTATCAGTGAATCAAATACAAGCAATTTAAAAATTCACAATCACCATACTTCAGCTAATCCTTTTACTCATGTACAACCATGTATTGGTACAGATACAAAACCTGTTCCAGTAGGACCTAGAGCATTTGAACTACAAGTTGTAAAAGCTACAATCACTAATTCTTGTGGTTTAATTGCAGAAGATAATCTATCAAATGATCTGTTGGAATCAGTTTTATCAAACTTGATTAGTTTTTATCCAGCTACTGGAACACTAAAACCTGGAGAAGTAAGTTAGTTTTTTCTCAAAAAGTTTTTATCGGTATAAGGTTGGAGATTATTAAGATATTAATTGAGATCTCCAACCGATTGATGTTAGACCACCATTGAAAACCTGTAGGCCAGTGGAGTTATTCCGTGTCGGGTAGAGACAGGTATCTACCTCAGTACAATGAAAGATGGTCATGCAATTTCGTGGATTGGTTGAGGTTGGACACTGACACCATTAGTAGGTTAAGCGTTCGCGCGCGAGACTGAAGGCCATGGGTTCGGATCCCATGAGCAGCATCTTGGGTGTGCACTGCTGAGGAGTCCCACTATAGGACGGGACGTCCGTCCAGTGCTTCCAGGTTTTCAACGGTGGCCTAACACCAATCGGTTCAAGATCTCAATCAGAAAGTATTATCGGAACAAACAGTTTGTTATATTTTATTTTCATGTCACTGACTTAAATTTATTAATCCATTATACATAAACTTCATCCAGTCAGGGGACCAATTCAAACTAATTTATATTGCAATTTGGCGAATTTCAGGGTATAACTAGTATAAATATTTCTGCTCATATAGCACAAGTTCTGTATTGAGTCAGTGTGCTAAACTACAATAAACTAGATTTTGTAGAATATTAATCAATTCAAATAGATAAACTTATAGCCTGAGATATAATATGTATACCGTCTAAAGTTCAGAATAGTATCATACAATTACATTTTATTCTCTCAGGTAGGAATATTGTGAAAGAATGCTTTCTCCCAACTTCAAATTGAATGCATTGTAAATCTAAGCATAAAATTGAAACTATGTTAACATTATACAGATTTTATTATAGTAATACTATTTACAATTAAGTTTGCCCAATAAAATGTATGTTAAAACGTATATTCAAATTCATTTCTATGTTACCACTATTTAACTCGGAAAACTACTCATTTTTGTATTGTATATAGAGTCAACAAATAAATATACGTTTTTCACCATGCTTAAATAAACAATGTATACAGAGAGAAGCAAGTCGACTGTGTGATATAGATAAGCAAAAACGAAAAAAAGAACAATCCCTCGTAAATGAAGAAGAAAAAACTGTAAAACTTAATAAGGTAATATTTGATTTATTATAGATATACTATCATCATTTATATAAAGTTTAAGTAATAAACATATATATCAGAAGGGGTTTTGTGGAGATTTGAGTAATTTCAATAACTGAAATCATGAGTCAATTGAAACTAGATCACCATGGAAAACCTAGAAGCAATGGACGGCCGTTTCGTCCTATTGTGGGACTCCTCATATAATACGATTTTATTTTCTGTTTTGAATAGTTTTCTACCTGAGCTACAAATCTTCTTCACCATCTCAGAATGGTGTTTTTTAATATGAGAAATTTCAGTTATTTCATTACACATAACTGTTAATTAAAGTCGAAACTTTTCTTGAATTTTAATCAGGAATTTTTTTCTCACAGTTTAAAATCTTTCGGAGAGAACTTTCAGAATAAACTATCATTCATTTCAAAATTACTTATCTGATGATGATCTCGGGCTTCAGTGAATATTGTTTTCAAAATGAGAAAATTATCACATACTTTTTTAGAGTTAAAAAAGTATGACCGGTAAGAGTAGAGGACATTCGTAGGTTATTAGTATTCGATCATAGGTGTCTTCGAAATATTGCTCGTATATCCTGAGACTACCGAGTAAGTAATGCAGTCGTTAGGAAACGGGTACTAGGTAAGGATGGCAAATCAATTGATGAAGTAGTGAAACTTCATCAGTTGAGGTGGCTGGAACACGTGTTACGTATGCCCAACGACCGACTGCCTCGACGTGCGATGTTCATTGGTATAGGAGTAAGTTGGAAGAAAGCCAGGGGTGGCCAGACCAAAACATGGCACATGTCCATGAAGCCACTGATAAGTGAACTGAGCCATGTTAGTAGGTGTAGACTATCTGGTTGGGGACCGCGAGATGATAGCAACCGATGGTTAGAGACCCTGAATGACATGGCTCAAAATCGTTTGCAATGGCGCAGGTGCATCCACTCTTTGTGTTCTCCCAAATTATAATCGTCTGAATTGTTCATGTCTCTTTCTTTTTCCTCCTTCCAAATTTATTTCACTGGATTATACTCTTTAAATAACATCTTCAAACCCTAATGTTTCCGATTACTGCTTATCACCTCTACCACTGCGGGATTTGAATCGATAATTGTATCCCTGTGCTAATGTAGTACGGCAACTCGAACTGATGTACGTACGTACGAAGTTCTACGTTGCTGCTGACTGACTGACGTTTTTAGAATTAGAATGTTTTTATTTGGTTTTTGAATTTTGAAACATGAAACATATATCGATCTTACGTTCTGTATTGAAATAAGAAAGCATCAGGATTGACATATGCAAAGTGTTCTGTTGCAAATATCAGATTTATTTTCATGTGAAACTTACAGGTTAAAATATCTTCTGTCACGTTACAGTAGATAAGAAAAATCTTTTGCAAGTATGTACAGCATCTCGATCTAAATACATATTTTTCATTCCTATGAATGCCCTCTCCAATTCAACTGTTTGAACTAGGTTGATGTCACAAGATTTTTATTGACCTATATACATTTTAAACACTTTCAAACTATTCAAACTTTTTATGAATGACTTTTCTAATCTTGTATTTACTGATCAGAAATTACCGGTGGTCTCGCTTAAAATACAACTACTGTGAGAGGCTGCTAATCGTAAAATGTTACTAACTTTACAGTGTTTTGCTACTATGTTCCGTGTCATTAAGATGATGGCTTACAACAAACCAAACTTATGACACCTGCTGTGAGCACTAATCTATCCTAGATATGAGCATAAATAATGAAGAAAAACGATTAAAACTTTGAATCTTCTGAAACACGTTTTTAATTTAAACGTTTTCCTCTCGATTTTAAGGATTTACTAACAAAAACTTACAAATACAATAGAGTACAATCAGTCCAACTACGAACATCCAGCCTTACAGTTAATAATAATATCATATAATTAACTCGTCACTACGATATATATTGCTTCTAGTCTTATGTTCAAGAAATCAACCTTTGGACATAGGTGATATTTCGATTTCACTAAATTTAGCTCATTTTGACAATATTTAATTGAT